TGTTGGTGAAATTTTTTTTGCTGTTGTCAGACAATCTAATGAAGTACCAGGTAACAAACCTTTCAATCAAAATGGTCCTGAATTCATCACTAATACCCAAACTTTGGGAGAGAAGGTGATCTTTTTATAATACAGTTCCTTCAATCAAAAAAAATTTGCTCAGAAGAGATGCATTGTCTGTGCACAAACAAAGACGGGAAAAAAGACGCAAAGACACTCGTTTTTGTTTTGAGGAATGTAAGGTCCTCTGTGCATGGTGCCTTGTTTCAAGGAGTTCCCAAGTCAGCAGTTCTAAAACCCTGTCCAGTGATTGTAAATATTAAAAAATATGATGAAAATTAGTTTATCAAAATTTGTGCATGTTTTTGTAATAAACAAGTGGTAAACAATAAAATGTAATAATTCAGTGCGGTTATTGTGTTCAATAATGAGTTTTATAATAATTAATACAGTATTTGGGCTCTCAGCCCCCAAAAATTAGTAGGAATAGAAAAAAATTGGAAAAGAAAAAAGAAAAAAAAAAAACTAAACAACAAAAAAAAAAATACGCGTATGTGGAATTCGTCGATGTTGCCACCCACCACATCATTTTTTTATAAATTCTTTGGGATGTATCTCGGGTTTAAGGGTGATCGATTCTATTTTTTTTTTTTTTTTTATTACCTTCACAAAAATATGCTTTTATTCTGTAAGAATTTTTTTTTTTTTTTTTTTTTTTTTTTTTTTTTTTTTTTTTTTTTTTTTTTTTTTTTCAAAATTTCTTGGACACTGGTGCGTGACTTCAGATTTTGGCCTTGGACCCTGAAAGGGTTAATTACCATATCTTGTATCTGCCAAGCAATCATGGCACCCAGTAGGCATACCAGTGTTGCTGAATGACTTATTGACATGATTGACTGACTTACTGAGTGACTGACTTACTGACTTGACTTAATTGACTGACTTGACTGACTTGACTGACTTACTGACTGAATGGCTGAATGACTTACTGACTGAATGACTTGACTGATTTACTGAATGACTTTACTGACTTACTGAATGACTTAAAGTTAGACTTTTTCACTGAAGAGGACCCTGAAATGGTGTCTAGAGCAGCTGGTACCTTACCATCAGTTGTATAATGTACTGCAGGGTAAAATAGAACAGAAATCCATTACAGAATTTATGTACACTCCAGTACAACCATCGACTTCAGTACCAGAACCTCTACCATCCACCTCAGCCCAGTAGGGCCACAGCATAACTCTCCACTTTCTTCACAATCATCCACAAACACCAACATCCACAATTGAAGGTAAGAAATGCTATTATTTCTGTTGCAGTTATAATTTTAAGCAGGAAAAACAACATTATACATCACAACAATGAGCTACAATTATATATTCACTTTTACTTTTGTAAGATCTGGAGGCCTAAAAAAAAGTTGTTTGAGGGGGAAGCTTGCGTCCTGAATTTTTGCTCGTATCCAGAAACAAAAAATCGACCTAGGGACTGCTTGTACCCTGAAAAACTCTTATGGTGGGGCACGCATAAGCCGAGGTTCCACCGTACTTATACAGGACAGTCAATTCTAATATTAATCCTGCTCTGAAACTCTTTCTTGATAGTTGCAACAGAACTCATAGTCATAATACTAGACACAAAAATCTTTGATATTCCCCATGTCTAATTCAACCTATGTAAAAATTCAATGTGCATGAAAAGACCTAAAATCTAGTACACTTTCCCTGAAGATTCCAGAGTCCATCTATCTGCTAGCCACTTGAAAGCTACTATTAAATACACCTCCTTACCTTAACCCCTTGACTGTCGCAACCCCAAATCCTGAGGTGTCTCCTGGTGTCGCAAAAATTAAAAAAAAAAAAAAAAAATCTTATGAAATGACAGAGAATCTTTTCACGATGGTAATGACACCAAAAGTATGAAATTTGATGGAAAACTTACGGAATTACACTCTTGTGAAGTTAGCGACCTCAGCGATATTAACCCTTTGACTGTCGAAGGGCCCAATCCTGAAGTTGCTCCTGGTGTCGCAAAATATTCGAAAAAAAAAAAAATTATTTTTTCTTATGAAATGATAGAGAATCTTTTCCCGATTGTAAAGACACCAAAAAAACGAAATTTGATGGAAAACTGACGGAATTACGCTCTCGCGAAGTTAGCGACTTTGGCGATATTTAAAAATCGGCAATTTCGCCCACTTTGAGCCCTATTTTCGGCTAATTCCGTTATTCCAGTCAACCAAACTCATAACTATTTCTTCAGAACTCTATTTTTTCTATCGATTGAGCACAAGAAACTGCCCATTTACCGATTTCAACTACCCAATAACATGGTCAGAAATTTGCAATTTGGCCAATTTCACGAAAAATTAAAAAATACGACAATTTCAAAATAAGGTCCAGAATGAACAATGCAGACATTCCTGGCTCTAAATAAGATTTTCTTTGTTCATCAGTCATGTCTCCAGGTCCCTGTGATATTACTCTTGCTTTTTATTTTGAAATTTTATTCAAACAAAAAATAGAAGATTTACTGTTATGCAGACTACTGCAATACTGTAATAATTGTAAAAAATTACATCAACCCATTCATGACTGCGTATTAGAATGGCTATTTGGACATTTATTGACAATGACATCATTTGTTTACTTTTGAACATCGGCAAAAATCAAACATTTCCTGTACTTTGTGCTCATTTCCAGGTTCTTTTTATAGTAAAATTAATCAAAATCACCTCCATTTCTATAATATAGTTTCCATTCTATCAAATGAGACCAAGAAAACGAGAATACAACCACAAATACTATACGAAAATAGACCACAAAGTCGGCATTTTAATTAAAAAAAACGGTCGGAGTTTTTTTTTTTCTCATTATTTGCACTGCGTCTCCAGATTTTTTTTATGTGGTGCACACTGACCACACAGACCCATTCTCTCACATGTGGGCCTACTAGCTTTTCTCCTGCCTGATTTGAAGCCGCTAGAATTTATGAGTTTTATATACGTCAAACACGGTACCTCACAAACGTATATATACCGGCCGCCGAACAGTCAAAGGGTTAATGAATTGGCGATTTCTCCCACTTTGAGCCCTATTTTCAGCCAGTTGCATTGTTCCAGTCGACCAAACTCATAACTATTTCTTTAGAACTCCATTTGTTCTATCGATTGAGTACAAGAAACTGCCCATTTACCGATTTCAACTACCCAATAAAGTGGTCAAAAATTGGCAATTTGGCCAATTTCACGCAAATTAAAAAATATGCCAGTTTCAAAATAGGGTCCAGAATGAACAATGCAGACATTCCTGGCTCTAAAATAACATTTTCTTTATTCATCAGTCATGTCTCCAAGCCCCTCTGATATTACTCTTGCTTTCTATTTTGAATTTTTATTCAAACAAAAAATAGAAGATTTACTGTTATGCAGACTACTGCAATATTGTAATAATTGTATAAATAATGTCAACCCATTCATGGCTGCATACTAGAATGGCTAGTTGGACATTTATTGTTTACTTTTGAACATTGGCAAAAATCAAACATTTACCCTACTTTCAGCTCCATTTCAAGGTTTTTTTGATAGTAAAACCAATCAAAATCACCTCTATTTCTATAATATGTTTTCCATTCTATCAGATGAGACCAAGAAAATGAGAATACAACCATAAATATTATAGGAAAATAGACCACAAAGTCGGCATTTTAATTAAAAAAAATGATCGGAGTTTTTTTTTTTTTCTCATTATGCACTGCATGCTGCAGGATTTTTTTATATGGTGCACACTGACCACACAGACCCATTCTCTCACATGTGGGCCTACCAGCTCTCTCCTGCTTGATCTGAAGCCGCTAGAATTTATGAGTATATATACGTCAAACACGGTGGCTCATAAGACGTATATATACGACCGAAACAGTCAAAGGGTTAATGTGATCCTGACAACAATTCATTATGCTGAACAATTCCTGAAACCTGTCTTTCATCCAATATTGTCTTTGTTCTTCGTCCATCATTTCTTCAACTTGGTTACCTTGCTTCATCCTTAGTTTTTGTTTTTTAACATGTTGGCAATTTCCCACCAAGGCAGGGTGACCCAAAAAGAAAGAAAAAGAACTTTCATCATCATTCAACACTTTCACCATCACTCATACACAATCACTGTCTTTGCAGAGGTACTCAGATACGACAGTTTAGATGTCCCTCCAAACTACCAATATCCCAGACCCCTCCTTTAGAGTGCAGGGATTGTACTTCCCATTTCCAGGACTCAAGTCTGTTTAACCAGTTTTCCTGAATCCCTTCACAAAATATTACCCTGCTCACACTCCAACAGCTCATCAAGTCCCAAAAACCATTCGTCTCCATTCACTCCTATCTAACATGCTCACGTATGCTTGCCCCTCGCCCAGAAAACCTTCTTTACCCCCTCCCACCTACCTTTTCGGGTACAAGCCCTACCTACCTACTAAATTACTGAATAAGTCCAATGTAATACGTATAAACTAAGTTCAGTAGGATCCCCATATCCATGGATTCGGTTTCCACGGTTTCAGTTACTCAGGATTTACTGTGGCTGAAAAGTAAGCTTAATAGTAATGATGGTGACAGTTCTTCAATGCCTAAGAGAAGCCTTGAAGTGTTTCCCATCAGTGAAACAGTGATAACCCTTCACTTGTGCATAATTTATCAATTAAACTTTATCATAGGTATGTATGTAAATGGGTCCACTACTATCCACAGTAGGTCTTGGAACATATCCCTCATGGATACGCGGTGACTACTGTATTCTTATTCTCACATACTAGTGATCATAATTTAGCTTTAAGGTTGCCCGAAATGCCTTGTATAATAAGGGCTTTTTTCTGAAGTGGTTTATATGTCAGTTACCCTATACTGTACTCTAATTTATAGAAATAAAGTTTTTTTTTTTATTGTTGAAAACAGTCATTTTAGAGTTTTGATACTTTACGATTACACATTTTATTGTCCACAGATTCAGGTTGCAGTGATGAACCACAAATGGTACCAGGAGATCTTCAAAGATTATCCACGCAAACGTAGAGCTATTTTCCCATTTTTATTATGAATATTATTTACTGTGTATATTACTAGTGTATAAATAGATGATCATCTGACCAGATTGTATATGGAGTATAATACAGAAAGTCCTCACTTAACGTTATTGATATGTTCTTGGAAACTGTGACTTATAGCGAAACAACATAGTATAACGAAACCAATTTTACCATAGGCTAATTGATAGCATGAGTCCACAGCGCACCTTTAGCACTCATTGCAACAGGGTTAAATCAAGAAATAAATGGTTGCAAAGTGGAGCCTATCCTGGGAGCTCAGGGTGCAAGGCAGGAACCAACCCTGAACAGGATGCCATTCTATTATGGTACACTCACACACACACACACTCATACTAGGACAATTTAGACACACCAATTATCCTAATGTGCACATCTTTGGGATGTGGGAGGAAATTGGAGTACCTGGAGAAAACCCATACAGACATGGGGATAATGTGCAAACTCCACACAGACAGTGGCCCTGGCTGGGAATCGATTTTTTTCCTCATCGTTATAACAAAACGACGTTAAGCGAGGGCTTAATGTACTGGAGACTAAACCTACTTCTTTAAAACTGCAAGAAGGCCAGGTCAGTGCTCAGTATACTTGCACAGTTTTTTACTGTCACAATACAGTATGGTAAAATTCTCATTTCCTCACTCAGCTACTGTGAATGTTCAGGTTGTAGTTGGTGGTTTGAGAAAACATTCTTACAGAATACATAAATGCTGTAGACACAAACATGGGGTGAGGCTTTATTCTGGGCTAGTCTTTATGAGGAAAAGCAGCCTTAGAAAATATCTAGAACAATTATTATTTTGTCTTGGTATGTAGATATTGCTTTTGGAGAAAAAATGGTATATTTTTCAAATGCTGTTATAGTATTTATCTCATTATAGACACTGTTAATTCATTTATTATGTACAATAGATTGTATTACAGAGATGTGGTTTAAGTTTTGTAATTTTCATGAATTTTGATATATAATTTTGAGCATATCTTATATACTCTGTACTGTGATTGATAAATATGCAAATAAAAGTGTAAATTTGTTAGTCATATTATATAGTATTCCTTGTCTGATTGTATTATTAAGTGAAAAAAGTTGCTCAGGTGATTCAGAGGTAACTTTTAACTACATTATTGATACATACAATAGTAATAGTTATTTCAGTAAATGTATTTCAATGTACATATTTTTGTTGTTATACTCATTGGAAACTGGTAAACCCATATAATTCATATAATGCCTGGGTAATGAGAGATAAACAGGTTTGATCCAAGGAAGGGGAGGGTAGCTATATACCCCTGAACATGGTGGCTGTAGTGTTGTGGTGTTTGTTGGCTGTGCTGTTTGGTGACCACAGTGTTTGATAAAGTGTGTTTGGCAACTGTGTTGTTCACTAAGGTGAATTTGGTGGCCGTGGTACTCACTGTGAAATGAAGTAGCCACCCATTTTTCACCCTGGAACTAAGGGTCATGTTCAAAACAATAAAATTAATTCCACAGGCGAAGTCGGGGGTAAAGGAAAAAGAGGGGGAGGAAATAAAAGAAAGGGGGTAATTACCACAGTTAATAATTGTTGCCAAAAGGGGATATTTTAGTTTAATGTTTATTTCGGTGGTTCTGGTTTCAGGTAGATTACCTGTGAATGAGCAGTGGCCTCCTACCAGTTCTTGAATCCCCGAAAAAACCCTAATCCTAGTACAACAAATTTTTTTCAAACTTCATATACATACCGAGAAGGGGAAGCAAACACTTGGAAAATTAGAGTTTAAAGATGAAGAAACAAACTTAACATGAAAACTGAGGATATAAAAGTATAAAACTGCATTTAAAAACAAACAATATTGTATTGCAAATTTAATATCTACTCAAAAACCAACTGAAAGGAGCACAACATGTTTTCTTTGTACATATTCTAAATTCTTTCTACCGTACCTTCCATAAAATTTCAAGAGGCCTTAACTTTCAATTTAATTATACAATACTCAAAGCATTTTCCTGTTGTACGTAGAGCAGGTATGTTTCATCCATTCTTCATTTATTACAAAAAATGACAAGGGTGGCTCACAACTAGGGTTTGGCCTCACTTTGATTTCACAGTCATTACAGATGGCTTAGTCATAGCTGGTCGCCACTATTTTCCAAAATAATAGCTTAAATCTTATTTGCACTTAAAACAAGCTCAGTGTACAGGAGGGCATCTCTGTTGATACAAGTTTTCCCTCCAGAACTCATACTCTATAAAAGCTTTATGGTAACTTGCATAATCCAGTTCTTGGGAGAGATTGCAGAGACCCTCCTATTGGAGATTACAAGGTTTGTTAACAACTCCTGGGCTAGTCTGATTCCTGACAAAATTAAAACTTATTTGGAGCATTGCTTTGTGCCATTAAAACTGTATAGTCCTTGTGGCTTAGCGCTTCTTTTTGATTATAATAATAATGTGCCATTAAAAAGAAAGATGGAGGAATTAGGCCAACTGCCACAGGCAACACTCTTCACTGCCTCATTTCTAAAGCTGATATCTGAAATATTTGCACAGAAGCAGCTATGATACTCAACCAAACCAGCTTGAATTTGGGATACCCCAAGGAAGCAAAGCAGTGGCTTACGCAGCAAGGGTGTATATCAGTAACCTGCCTGACTACAATGCAGTATGAAGCAAGGGTGTATACAATAATATGCCTTAGGAAATTATAGCAGCAAAAAGGGGTATATTAATAACCTGCCCAAGGACAAAGTAGTATGTGGCAAGGGTGAATAAAACTAGCCCGAGGACAATGCAGTAAAAAACTTTTAAGAATGGATTTAACCTGAAAAGAGATGTAATTTAACAGCTGTTCATGAAAATTTCCCCAGTTTTCCCTTTTTTTTCACTGGATACAGCAAAGGGAAACAAAAGCTTTTTGGGAACATGAAATTTTTTATTGGAGGGTGGGGCCCAAATTTTCTGTATAGAGGTTAGGAAAAAGCTTAGGTACCCCCCACCTAAACTCTGGAGATGGGACATGGCGGCACAAAGGAGTCACTTCTAGCAGATCTTGCTCAGGTGATGCACGGGGCGTAATAAACTTCCTTAATCCATCCAAATGTGACTCAGCCAAACAGCGAGTCATTGATGCGTGAGATTCAACTCCAGGTATGTAGCCATTGCACCTGCAAGTAGTGTCTTTCCTTTGGGGCTTCTCTTGAACGATGCAAATTTAAACAAATTTTTGAGAACAAACTGGGTTTGAGGAAGATGGAACATGAATAGGCAGCTAGATGCCCACAATGCCCCTTTATCTTTTTCACATATTTCCCAAGATGTGCTCCACTATGACAACTCAATACACTGAAAATGGGGCAGACTCCTGAGGGTTTATATTTACAAAAACACTCTCTTTGTAGCGGGACCAAAGGGCATCTCCAGTCAGATAGGGGTATTGGGATCCACAAGGCATACAGATTTTATTTTTTTCCCGCT